GTAACAATTCACACAGGCTCCAACACATGCAATTCATTGTTACCTGAACACTTTTCACAAAACCATCTGAGCATATGTATTATATACATAAGTGCATGCATACATACATGGGGGCATTCCAGTACATAATAAGATATCCTGTGGGGGAGGGGACAAGCCTTAGCTTTTATATCATGTAACATCAGCAGGAAAAATTTAAACCTACCAACCTAATGCCACTGAACACAGAACTGGAAAGAGATGAGCATCATCTGCAACCAAAGCCAGCTCCTGCACACCCATGTCCTTCTCCACGAATATGGCATACAGTCCACCTGCTCCCCATGTCTCCAAATCACAGCACACATTTCCAGAACACACATACTTCCTAGGTTGTGAACGCATGTATACACCTACTACCTATATCCTGAACACACAGATATACCGGGTGTTACTGCCTAAGTTCTAGAGAAAAAACAAGCAAAACATCTAATTACTCTAGATTATATATATAGGCCCTTGCTACAACTTTGAACACACAAGCAACAAGTGCGTCTTACAAATATGTACAACAAAGATGACCAATAGGAACCCAATAGACATAGACTCTACAAACCACTGAGCACAATTTTCTCATGTATCACCCCAAAACACATCCACAGAAAATTTACAGTACCCAATAAATATACTCCACAATTCCTAAATGTACACACAATCTCCACAGCACCTCTGATTCCAATCACTGACAAGGAAGTATCCATATCTACCATAAAACACCTGCATGAGCCCCAAGAACTCATATACATCTAAAGCCAAAAGCAGCACATACTTATCTAACATACAGGACCAAACACAAATACTAGGAACACAAATACAAGCAAAAATGCTACCCTGAATAAACATAAAGAGAACCATAAACCCACCTATATACTTACAGACTCCAAATATGCACATTCACAAAACCCATGAATGGCTAGCCAAACACTCAGATACATACTCATGGAATAGAAAATTTAATACCTCATAAACAGAGCCCTGCCTGGGTTCCATGCCTAGCACCAAGATGTGAAATAAAGAGAGAGACACCCCATAGACAACTACATAAATGACTGTACACCGATTTCTGTACCGTGTCTATATACATACAACTACCACACATACATACACACACACACACACACAAACATTTCAATTACTTGAATATATATTTCTGTAAAACACTATACCATATTTCACACCTAAAGAATATAGCCTCCTAAACTTGTCCCTTAAACATCAGTATATACTAGGTGTATATACCTAGAAACACTCTATCGTTAACCAAGCTTAATATATTACTAATATGCCTTAATCTAATTTTCCATGTTACATATTTCATGTACTTACCTGGATCTATACAAACTCTTTTAATCTCCAACACACACAGAAGTGTTAGGATACCATTTAAAAATCACCTTTTCCCATATCCCAACCCACAAATCCAGCAGAAGCCCCTGCTTTACCAGAGACCACACTGGTACCCAGAAGCCCAGGTAAAGACCCTGCCTACAAACCACCAAACTCAGAGCCTGCCAAGCTTTCCCCAAAAGCACCCCATCACCATATCCCAGCCAACAACTCTGGCAGAATACCCCTGCTCTACCAGAGGTCACACTAGTACCCAGAAACCCCCAAGCTCCATTAAAGGCAACCAATGGACAGGCCACTCAGGCCAGACAAACAGGGAGGAAACAGAAACCAAGGGATAAAACACACAACCAACAAAGACAAGCCCAGAAACCAGCACCTAAACCAATAACTCTTCTAAACCCAGAAGCAAAGAAGCCAGTGAAAAACACAACAAAAGTCATGACAATGTCACCATCTTACTACAGAAAGTTCTGAATAATTCAATACAGATGAAGCATACGAAAATGACCTTAGGGCTGGAGGGATAGCTCAGCCGTTAAAGGCTAGGCTCATAACCAAAAATATAAGAAAATGACCTTAAAACCAGCTTTATGAAGATTATAGAAGTCTTTAAAGAAGAAAGAAAGAAATTCTTTAAAGAGATCCAGGAGAATACAAACAATGGGAGGAAATGAATAAATCCCTTTTTAAAAGCTAAGAAACAAAAACAAACAAGTGAAAGAAATGAATAAAACTGTTCAAGACATGAAAAATGAAAATAGAAGCAATAAGGAAAACACAAGCTGAAGATGAAAAATGTAGGTAAACAAACAGGAACCACAGACACAAGCATCACCAACAGAATACAAGAGATGGGAGAGAGAATCTCAGGCATTGAAGATACAATAGAAGAAATTGATACATCAGTCAAAGAAACTGTTAAACCTAAAAAAATTCCTGATACAAAACATCAAGGAACTCTGGGACACTATGAAAAGATCAAAGCCAACTAAAAGGCCTAGTACTCAGTTGTACAAAGTTGCTAACATCTCTGTCTATCAATGGAGCTACAGCAAGGAGCTGTAGCATGGCAGATCTTTCTGTTTACAGGGACAAGTTTCATAAGTACAATAAGGATGACTCACCATTTTCAGTGATAGGGGCTATTTTGTTTAAAGGTAATGATTACAAACACGTAGAAGCTTCCTGTGAGTGTAAGGGGCACAAGTAACACACTTTCAATTTTTATTTATTAAATTCTCCTATACAGGTCAAAAGTCAGGCTATCTACAAAACAATGGGAGAAGCCCTGGTCCAGGCACTTACCTATGCCAATGGTATAAAAACTCCCAGGCTTCTGGCTGGCCTCAGGAGGGCACTCAAGTCACAGAGGGCCACACTGCCTGCAAGATACAAGAAACTAACACCCAAGGACAGCAACAGTGGTGACTGCATGCCCAGAAGTTAGGCCCAAGTTTCCTTTACCTTACTCTCTCTGTAATGGACACTGCCATAATCAGCCGACTGACCACAAGGACGCTGCTCCTCTCCGTGCTTGCAGCCCTCCACATTGGCGCTACCATCTGCACGCTTGCACCAGCATCCTCCGTGCTTGTACCAACTCTCTCAGCACTGGTGCTTGCGCCCCAGTCTTCTGTGCTCGCTCCCTCCATGCACGTGCTTGCGTGCATGTCTCTTCCTGAGTGGGTGAGCAATGGATGGACTCTGAGAGCCACTGGAAGACGAGAAGTACCCGCAGAAAAGGAAAGACAAACAGTGCACTGTGGGTGACACCTCCCAGCCTAGTCACAGAATATCTGTGGCCATCCCTCTTAAAAACCAGGGATTATAAACTTTCCAGTCATGCATTTAGCATCTTCACCTGGCAATGTTGAAGAGGTCTGGCCTAAAGCCATCTCCTGCTGACCACAACATTTTGGATGATTATTTGTTTTCTTTCTGCTTTTCAAAGAGCAGCTTGTCCCCTCCCCAGACCATCTCAAAGTTCCACTAAGGAACACTTCCAGAAAAAAAACTTCAGAACCAGGAGATGAAGATACTCCTAGACATGATCTGCTCAGACTCTGATTCTAGAGTCCTTCCTATGACACCGCTATGTTAAATTCACCTACTTCATCTGAGAGCTCTGCAAATAAAAGTCAGTCTGCAGAAAAATGTCGCTCTGCCAACAAATGTCTGTTACAAACACTTCCTATGAAATTTGTAATTATACCTTTGAGACTCGATAGTCTGGATCGCTATAAACCACTCATTGTATCCCAAACCTCTGTCACAGTGAGAACACTACTGACTCCTCATGCCCCGCAGCTCTCTGGATTCTCAGTCCACATCACCCCTCAACCATTTCCTAGCAACCATTCTTGTCACAGCACAAAGTGAGACTACTACTGTCTCCCAGCCTTATGACACTGATAAAGCGAGACACACAATATCAAAACAGAAACCAGATAAGCTTTCTTTAAAGGGTTGCTACAATGATAACCACCCAGGAAGGCACCTGCTCTTCCAGTTATGATCTGTATGTGCCTAATAAGCACACTATCAGTGGAAACATCCCAAGCCACATACGTGTTTAATATCCCAACTATCAAGCATTATAGCCTTGAATATCTTACTTTAATCATGCTCAGAACACACATTAGGGTATAACTAGGCAAAATTGTCTAACAGTTTATGATTGACCCTGCCTAGCACTGGTACCATGAGAACATCTCTAGGCTGTAATAATTCAATTTTGCAACTCACTTCCAGTCAGAGCTAATTGGCAATATAACCCATAGTCTATATCTCAACACAGCTACTTTAGGCAGTGATCTTTAACAACATAACTCTCACAAAGAGCATCTCACTCAACCTTTTTTGGTTGGATTCTATAGCATCTGCCATGGTGACAATAAGTGGATTTCTTCCCACATGTTTTACTCATCAATATCATCCAGAGTTATTCAGTATTTTAAAAGAATCCACCACTAATTTGAATATAAAATAGCTATTTCAGTAAAGAAACGCTAACTGCTGAAAGGGTAAAGGAGGAAACTGAGACAGAACAGAAGTAGCAACTTCAGAAATCCATTTCATTCCTAGGGATGAGGGGAAAGTGGCGACAGCAGAAATGTTCAGGCTTAGATCCAAACCCAAGCAGAAGTAGCAAACTACAGAGCACTGTGACCTGTGACAGGTAGCTGCAGCCTACAGAGAAGCTGGGCCCATTTTCCAGAAGAGCTGAAGAACGCTTAGACCAATAAACCACTGTCAACACTTTCTGGTTGTCTCGCAGAAGTCAGGTTTTCTAGAAACTTTCTCCTTTGCCCTGTGTAGAGAGGTCAGAGGTGGGATTTAGAATTAGAAGCAGGGGAGGGGAAGGCTGAAATTTAATAAGAAGGGAAGGGGTGGTGGGTATGAGCACAAGCAGAGAGTCAAGAGCCTCCTCCACTTCCGGTTTCCAGTACACTCATCCAGACATCTCACCAGGTAATCCCAGCACTCAGAGGCAGATAGACCTCTGTGAGTTTCAGGTTAATCTCTACACAGAGAATTCCAGACTAGTCGTGTCTACACAGTGAGACCTTGTTTCAAAAAAAAAAAGTATTTTGGCAGACTGAGGAGATGGTTTAGTGGATAAGAGAACCCAATGTGTATGTTTAAAAGACCTGAGTTTGGATCCCCACCACCCATGTAAAACTCTTGACATAGCCACACATGTCTGTAACCTAGCACTGGGGCAGAGGGGAAGGTTACCTGGTGTCAGCAAGAACAGCCATTTTGGTGAAGAATATCTAACTGTAGAAAAATTGCTACATAACAACAGTAATGATAATAGTAAAATCGAGGCCAGAAAAATAAAAGAAACTCTAAGAACCAATTAGAAATTCTGCCGCTGAAAACTAGGTAATTGTGTTCATTAAAATTTACTAAACAGTCTCAACACTCAACATAGCAGAAGAATTCTGTAAACAGTCAAATTACCCTTCAATCAAGAAGTGAGCATAAAAGCACTAGCAAATAAAGAATTTATGGTTAGCAAGACCGTCTCATAATAAGAACTAAAGAAATTCTTTCAGTATGGAAGTGAATCATACCAGGTGGTAAATCAAATTCCAACATATAAGTGGTAAATACAGAGGTAATAAAGTCTGCATAGAAATGAACACACTCAGGAGGGCTTGTTGTCATATAAAGTATTAAAACAATGTATCGATGGGTTTCCATTATAGCTATGTAATAAAAATGGCAAAAATGGCCATTACAACGCAGAGGAGGTAAAGCTAACAGCTGTGTTGGAACACTTTCTCTGTTTTATCAATGCTAGGTTACTATTAATGCGAAATTAGTTTGTGTACATCAATAGAGCATCTAGTAACTAGCAAATAATATGACTTAATAAAATAGTTATATAGTACTAAAGGAAGCAGGAAGAGGGGGGATGAAACAGAAAATGTCAGAAAGAACTGCAAGGCTAACCACATCAGTAAGCACTCTAAACATGAACAACCTAGACATTGTTGTTGAGGGGGAAGGCTGACAACCTTAACAAAAGAACAAGTATTTGACAAGGGTTCTTTTATTAGTGTAACCCAGGTGGGCCTTGAATGTGAGCGTTCCTGAACGTCAGCTTCCCCAGTGTTGGGAGTGAGTGTGGGCACTTAGCTCACTGACATAAAGGGAGAGCGTGAAAACTATGCTCTCCAGTCCAGGAGAGGGAGGGAGGAGAAGCAAACAAGAGAAAAGAAAGAGGAGGGGAGGGTAAGTGCAGAGGAGGAAGAGAGGGAGGGAGGGAAGGAAGGAAGGAGGGAAGGAAGGAAGGAAGGAAGGCTGGTTGCTCATCCCACTGGGACTGCAAATAGAAGCTACATTCATGGAGGGCATGAGTCTGTATGTTGAAAACCCCAGAAACCTCATTAAACAAACCAAAAGTAAATAAAGTGACCAGAACTAATAAGCAGTCTTACAGGTTATAGGAAATAATGCTACTGTTAAAATTATGTTCCCAGCATGCACCAGACACACACTCTTGCTTGTCTAAGTCTCTGGGCCTTCGCCAATTACTAGCCAACAACCTGGTCAGTGGAATGTCATTTGCCAGGTCACAGCTGTGGCCGAACACTCATGCCACGGCAGCTCTCGCCTCCCAGGCTCCCCTTTGCCCATGTCTAGAGTCACAGCAAATGAAGAGAGAAAAGGAGATGCCTGCCGCCTCCCTCCTCCCTCTCAAGAGCCACAAGCTAGAAGTTTGAAGCCTGATAGAGCACAAGTGTTACAGAGACAGTTCCAGTTGTCCCTGCTCTCCACCCAGCAGCAGATTGGGTTCTTGCGCTCCTGAAAGAGAGGAATTAAGATGAGACATAGTATAAGATCAAGCATCCAGATTTTAACCAGTAAGCAAAAGTTGACCTAGCAGAATGGACTCATTCCTCCTGTTCCTGTTACCTTTTCCTGTACCTCCCTCGGAGTGGGCACATAAGGGACAGAGGTGTGGTTCTCTTAAAAGTCTCTGTGTGTGTGTGTGTGTGTGTGTGTGTGTGTGTGTGTGTGTGTGTGTGTGTGTTACGTATATAAAATGCAAGAATATGTGTATTCTAAATACACCTATAGCTGAAAAGTTTATTAGAGGGAAGGGTAGCAGTATTCTGAATACACTCCCCTGGCTAGGAATTACCCAAGGGAAACTGAAGCCGTCCCAGCCAGCCAACCAATGCCACCTACCACCACCCTATGGTGCTGCTTCACAGTCCACACCAGCATTGCACCCTGCCTGGACATGAGCTGACCCATCTGGGATCTAACACCACACTGTCTTTCCATCTTGAACAAAAATAAATCGATACCATTACGGGACATGAGCAGGTCCAACTATTACTCTTTAGGTCCTATTTGGGGTCCTTATTTGTTACTCCCTCAAGGTACTAGCCTCCTGCCTAACACAAGAACAATGTGTCTTACAATAACAAAACACCTGGAGTGCACAGGCTGGTTAATGCCATCTAGACACCATCTGCCCACCACAATCACAGAGGCTCCACTCAGGCAAAGGGAGAATAAGCCTGCACCAGCATACTTCAGCAGTGTTAACTGGCGCCATCTTGAGCCTTGTGGCTATGAGCTGTATGCCTCCGTGGACACCAGACAAAGCACAAAGCAGGATCTGACACGTAGCAGTGCATGGGGGGCTAGGAGCATCAACAGAACCAGTACCTGCAAGCAGCAGAGACAGGGGCTGGCCAGCAGGAACGGATACATAGCAATGAGGGTTGCAGCACTGTGGTGGGGCAGGTGAGTGGCACTTCAGACACCTAGAACTTCCTGTGTCCAGGGGGACCAGATGCAGAACACTGTATGTGCAGCTCCAGTAGTTGAAGCCAGAGTGGGTGGGGGAGCCGTGTAGCAGGGTTGATGCTGCTCTGCTTTGTGAGATGCTTGAGGAGGAAAGTTCAACTGACTGTGATACATAGCAGTGTACAGGGAGGACAGGGACATGTCCCACAGGGCCAGGCGCCTGGCACCTGGCAGTATGTGATGGGTGGGGGTTGATTCAACAGTCTTATACCTAGCAGGGTAGGGGGTGACTTTGGCTCTAGGGGCGGAGATACCTAACAGGACCTGTGCACACTGTGACAGGTGTGACAGGGGGCAGGGGTTGGGAAATACAGTGGTACACAGCAGGACACACACGACACCTAGTATGTGTGGTATTGTGGGGAGGGGATGCATCCAGCAGCTTTGCTGGGGTGAAGGTCGGCTCACATAAATTTCTAGATACCAGGCCCTCCTGGCCCACACTCCCAAAGAGCACTGCTATTTATGCGAACTTGCAACATTCCCCTCCCCTGCTTTCAAGACCCAGATGCCTTGAGTGGTCTCAGGCCCTGGTGAACACCCTATCAATCACAACACATTCTCTGCTGCAATCCAAAATATACTGCAACCCAAATACACACCCTCACCCTAGGCTCACATTCGCACCCACTGCTCTACCACACACACACACACACACACACACACACACAGGCACACACACACACAGGCACACACGCGCACACACGCACACCAGGTCCTGCCTGACAATACCACACCACCACAGCCACTGCTTTATGTATACTGTTAATATAGGAGTCCCTGCTGGTACCACCCTGGCACCCTACATTCACTGTTATGTATCAAGCCCTCCTGGACACTCCCTGGCATCCCACATAATACTACTATGTGTCAGGGCCTGCTGGACTAGACAGCTCCCAACTGCTGCCAGTCAACATACACTGGACATCTCCTTGCTGTCCCTGCAAAGAAACAATTTCACATCTGGTACTTACCCTACCACAGGCCTTAATAAATACCAACTCATCCTGCTTCCAAAGCCATCCATGCACTACTAGGTACTGGGTCCTACTGGATACCCCTTCCACAGCCACTAAGGCCTGGACATACTGTGCGACATCAGGCCTTGCTGGACACCTACCCAAAAGTCCCACAGCCCCATATATATCAAATCCTTCTGAATCCTCCATTCCAGATACATATATTACATTGGGCCCTGCTCAATAAGCCCCTTTTCCTACACCTATATTGCCACCCCAAAGCGTTTTTAATTTTCAGTTATACTGAACACTCCCTGCCACTGCCTGCTAGAGTATGTGGGCAGCAGAAGCATGAGATGTTGGATCAAGTCTGAGCCTAGCACTGTATGTATGGCTGTAGCGGGAACAGGCACAGCATCAAGGGTCTGACACACAGCATTTGTGGGCAAAGATGCCTAGCAGGGCATGAAAAAGTAGCAGTGTATGCTGGCCAGCAGTGCACAGAGGAGGGAGGGCTGTGTCTATCCTGGTCTGAATCTAGCCTGCCCTGTGGGATGGAACCTGATACCCAGCTCTTCATGTGGCTGGAATATCCATCACGGCCTGATAGCCGGCTTACACAACTGTAGTTTGGGCTATACCCAGCAGGAGTATTGTGAGGTGCAGCAGATGCTTCCAACACATTCTGATACCTAAGTTTATACTGGGTAGGAAGTTAAATGGACCCTGATACCTAGAAGGGGAAGTGGGGTCCCAGAGGCAGTGGGGCATCCAGCAGGCCCGATAACACTGTGTATTACTGGGGAGCAGTGGAAGAAGTTCAGTGGTGGAGATGAAAGGGTGTCCACCAGGGCCTCATACATAGCAAGGTCAGGGTGTGTGCTATAGGAACTTCATCTTGTTTTGGATGTTGAGCGGTAGACCGAGTGAGGGGATGTCTAGCAAGTGTGATGTCCTAAAAATTTATTCAGATTGTTGTCATGGGGTGTCCAGAAGGGCCTATCACTGGGTGACCGGAAAAGGAATGTCCAGCAGGGCCTGATAACTAACATCGTAGTAGATCATTGAAGGAGGATGATACCCAAGACAGTCGTGACAGCTGGCCGTAAACCTGGGCTTCATCCCTGTGAGTCTGTCAAGCAGAGCCCAGTAAGTAGCAGTATGTTATGAGTACAGTGCATGGGAGTCATAGCAGTGCTGGATACCTAGCAGTTAACGTGGGGCTTGGTCAGGGGTCATTTAGGACCCAATACCTAGAAATACATGTGATATATATATTGAGGGCTTATCCAGCATGGCCCAATACCTAGCAGTTAATGTGGGTCTAGTGGGAAATCACGAGTGGCCCAATTGTTAGGAATGGATTTGAGGCAGTGAGAGTTCGTTCAGCAAGGCCTGGCACCTAGCAGTTCAAGTGAGGTGACATGGCAGTGGTGCCCAGCAATGCATATACCAGGTGGTATATGTCAAGGCAGGTGCCCAGCAGTAAGCTAGCAGGTTATATGGGTCATTGACAGGAGTGTCCAGCAGGGCCTGATGCCTATCACTGTATCTCAGGTGGCACTGGGGTTAGAGGTTGTCTAGCAGGATCTGGTACCTACAGTGTTGTGTGTGGTACAGCAGGAGATGCTGTCTACCCAGACCCAAGAAACCTATATAGTGCACTACATGTCCTTAAGGGGCGTCCTACATGTCCTTAAGATAACATTGTATGTAGGCTATGAATGGGGTGGGGATGAGCATGCACAGCACATGCAAATTTCTAGGTATCAGGCCCCAGTGCTCACCCCATTCCACTGTATCTGTCAATACAGATACAGATACAATCAGATCCAGTTGGACAGTTCCTCACCTGTCACACATAATGCATAGGATATCAGGTCTCACTATACCACCACCTGTGAACTCCTGCCCAAGGCTGACTCTTTGCCATCCATCAGAATGTTGTCTGGTTTGATGTCCCCATGTACAAGACTGTTCTCTTGGCAGTAGTTTGATGTCACTCTGTGCAATACTATTCTCATGGCAGTAGTTAACTTCACACACCATCTGTGTGAAGATGCGGTGGGTCTCTTCTTCCTGCAGACAGCCCACCTCCTCAATATGGCTCACCAGATCTCCCTCGGCAGCATGTTTCATCACCATATAGGCATGTTCTCTGGTTTCGATGATGTGGGACAGCTTGATGATGTTTGGGTGGTCCAGCACCTTAGTGCTGTGAATTTCAGTCCTGCTGTGAGAGTCATTTCTCTCACCCTCTCCAGCCTGCCCCTCTGTGTGAAGGTGGAATACCTCTGTAGAGCTGCCAAGGGTACTGAGGCTGATGCGATGGTCCCTAAGGGTCACCTCTTCAGAAGAGCTGGCCTCCAGGTCCAGTTACATCGTCTCCCTCCTCTTCTTTTGCCTGCAAGTTGCTTGAGACTTTCTATCCTAACACCAACCGACAAAACGAGAATAAAAACATGAGAAGCAGAGCCAGGAGGAAGGTTTACAGGTTTCAGTTCCTACATGGAATGGAAAGTGAGAGAGATGCGTGATGGTCTCACGTGCACTTCAGGGTAAGAACAAACTAAGCCCCCAAAGCAGTAACTGATAAAACAAACTGAAGATGAGGCTGACCTTGGAAAAGCAGGTGATAAAGAACACCCCAAAAGTACAGAAGGCCAGGTTGTCAGAAAAGATGAACTAAACTGACAAAACATCACCAAAACTAACCAAATGAGAAGATGCCAGGGGAAACTACAGACAAATGAATGAAGGTGACATTACAGCAGATACAGCAAGGCTCTAGGAATCATTAGGACCGATTTTAAAAACCTACACTGCAATACATTGTAAAAGGAAGAAACAGACAAATCTCTAAATCATATAAAATACTTGAGTAGATCAATAGCAAGCAATGAACTTGAAAGATTAATGTTAATTAATATCAACAACAACAAAAAAAGGCTAAGGCCAGACATATTCATGGATGAAGTTTATCAGATTTTTGTTTGTTTTCTTTCAAGACAGGGTTTCTCTATGTGGCTTTGGAGCCTATCCTGATACTCACTCTGTAGCCCAGGCTGGCCTCAGACTCACAGAGATCTGCCTGCCTCTGCCTAAGGCATATGCCACCAACACCCAGCTACTTTATCAGATCTTTAAAGAGGAATTAACACTAATGTTCCTCAAACAAGTCCATAAAATATAAAGAAGGAACACTTCCCAACATGTTCTACAAAGCCAGTGTTATCCTGTACCCAAAAATAGGGAAAGCAGGCTGTCTCTCTGAGTATGGCTGTTTACTGTCAGGTCTGAAGACCTGAGTTTCATTCCCAGAACCCACATGGTGGAGAGAACTGACCCTACAATATGTCCTCTGACCTTCACATGTATACACCAACACTCACTAAACAGAACTTTCAAAAATCTAAAAATACATCGAACTAAATATTATACACCAATCTTTATGTAGCAGATGTGACAAACCTTCATGAAAGTACTTGATTCTGCACACTAGTTCAACAACACTTTTAAAAGGTCATGTTCATGATCAAGATGAGTTCACTCAAAAATATAAAGCCAGTTAGAAATACAGAAATTCACAAATAAAGCATATGAAGAGGATACAAGATAAAAATGCACTTAGCCTGAAGAATGACATTTTGCCATTTTCCAGAAAATAAAAACTAAAGATGACAGTTTTATATGTGACAAGCCAAGACAAAACACGGCTTGCTTTCTCTCTTATGCAGAATCTGGAGGATTTGGGGGAGCCTGAACATAAAGGGGGACCACTGGGGACATGAAGGAGGGCAGGCGTCTGTTTCCCTGGGATGCTCCACAGTGTGCTGGGCAGGGAGCAGGTGTCTTAGTCAACCACACAGTCCAGACACTGCTGCACAGGGTCCTGGATGGTTCAGAATCCAGACACTGCTGCACAGGGTCCTGGATGGTTCAGAATCCAGGCTCTCGCAACCCAGAGCTCTTCACTACCCAGTGAGGAAAGGGCCAATGCATAAAACCCAAACCAAAGCAGTTCGGGCAAACAGAAGACAGCAAGGCGAATGACCCACAAAAGCAAGACTACTAACGGAAGAGAGCAGCAGACCAGGCTGTACTTGGGTGTTGGATGAGTAGACCAGGAGCACCACTCTGGAAACCATGGTGTCACAGCCGCCTCGGCGCACTATTTCTGCCACTGCGATCCTTAACTACCACAAACCGCTCACCAACGGTCTCAACCACCTCGCACCAACTGTTAAGTGCTGATCTAGGACCTGATTGGTCACAGGTCCACAAGTCAACCAATCAGACTAGCTAGCCAACCAGGACCCTCCTGACTGGTCATGTTAAAGTCATGTGACATTCTTTGTAGCCAGGAGGCTCTTATCTACACCCCAGATTAACCCCAGCAGGGTTAAGGAGTGAGGAAGGTTCCTTTGCTTGCTCTGTGCTGTTTCCCGAGGTGTATCTGCTATTGTGCACCTCCCCTACCCACTGCCTATGTCCTCAGAACTCATAGTTGACTTCCGATTTCAGAAAACAAACTTATTTCTGAACGTCAGATTTGGGGTTTTTGCTCTCAGAGTGTAGTCCTCCCTGAGCAAAAACTACCATCAGTTATTCAGTCAATAAATGTTTACTGCTCACTAGGGATCACCTGCTAGGTCCAAGGGGATAACAAGACTGATGGCCTAAAAGGAACAGTGAATCTTTGTTAAGAAGCCTGCATTTATGTCTCAAGTGATTACTGACTTTTCCCTGAGAGCCCCTCTCTTCCTTAACAAGTGTGCTTCCATGTATTTTAACATCTTTAATTAGGAAATTCCAAAGTTGCATCATAGAGTAGTCATGACTTAACGTCTTTGGTTTGGGTCCCAAATATCTTTAAATTAAAAATTATTCTCCTCGGTGCCTTTTCCCATTCTGTGCTCTGCTTTTGTGATGGGTCATTTTAATCCCATTTTTTTTCTCAGCTGTAGCAACTTCCCCAAATTATTTATAATTCCTCCTGTACTTTTAGAAAATACTTTCAATTGCTTGTTGAACTAAGTCTTCATATTTCTTGTGTGCTCTCTATATTTCCTCAGTATCACTCAGCAACTTTCAATTTTGGTTTCTTCTAATTTAATGATTTTATGTATTTTTGAGAATTTCATGCACAAGAAAGCATCTACATCACTCATGCCCCGCCCCTCTTGCACATCAGCTTCTCCCATAGAACCCCTCCCAAACCCATGAACTCTTTACTGTTACATGTGTGTGTATATATAGGTACAGTGTCTTACCTTCAAGTTCTGGGAGGCAGCAAAGGGCAATGGCAATAGCCCATCTTGTCTGGGGGTCTCTTGGACTCCTCTAGCCAACACCACAAAGGGAGGTTTCCTTGGCGCAAAGGATTGCCCCTCAGCACCTCCTCTGCACCTTCAGTGGGCTGTGTGTAATGTGTGATGCTCAAGGTGGAGACACCCATACAAGGACACCCAGACGGCTGGAGGAATGATGTCACAGCAGCAGAGCTCACCCCTACACATCTGAGCTACTGCCTCTGCCTGTAGCTCCCTGTTGCTCAGGTAACAGGTGATGGCATTGATCTCAGAGTTCATTATCACCCTTAAGTGCTGGAACCTGGCCTGAAGGAAATTTGTGAAAAATTTAAGGCTCCTGTTGGCTTGACCAAAGTGGAGCCTTACGTATATGTGGGGTGGAAGCCGTGTGTTTTCCGGAGGGCCTGCTACCCAGCAGTGCATTCAGGATGGCGCCTCTCTGGACCACCATTCCTCATATACTGTTACACACCAGCAATTGCTACATACATCACCCCCCTGCCATCAAATCCCCAAATATACTGCTAGGTACCAGGTCCTGCTGGACTTCCCCTCCCCCATTGCTGCAGCCAAAAGTACACTGATTGGTATTCCTCCCTGATGGATGCCCATAGGCACATTGCTTCCAAAAGTGCACCACTATTTTGCAGATGTTGAGGGCCATCCCCAGTCACCTCCATATTTAACTCGTAGGAATCAGGTCTAGCTGAGAATCCCTTGCAGGACGGTGAGCCGCATACACTACTGGTTACCATGCTCTGCTAGACACTCCATCCCCACAAACACTGACATTACACTCTTGACCCACGTACACTGCTAGGCATCGTCCCTCTTGGATGGCATCCCGATGCCTCTGTTCCACTAAACTAAGAACGAGGCCTTGCTGGCCACCTTATCTCCCTTATAACCCACACCGTGCAAGGTACCATATTCTTCTGGATACATACCCCCTTGCAGCTTCATATAAAGGGCTATGTATAAATTCCAGCTTGGTACCTACCTCCATGCCACCAAAAGTGTTGTGTAAGGCCTTGCTCTCAACACCATGTCCCACCACCAAAGTCGACATACATAAATTTCCAGCTGTGCTGTTCACCACCTTCAACACAGGCTGCTCTCAATGGTCTGAAGACAGGATCAGAGTGGAGTCATGCTACCTGCCTGCCTGGCCCCCAGGGTGCTACAAAGGCATACCTCTGCCTTCTCCCAGTCTGCCTTTGCTCCTATGGACAAGTGACAACTATCCCATGACAGTGAGTAAGGCTGGCCTCAGCAGCTTCATGCTTCCCTTCTCTGCACTCAGGTCAGTGTGAAGGCTAGACCATGTCCCAGAATCTTGTCTTCTGCAACAAATTGGCCCCTAAATGTGCTCAAAGACACCCTCAGCTGTGGGAATCCCACACATTCTTCCTGTATTCAGCTTCAACCCAGATCCACTGCGCCTGGGACTCAGAGAGGGATCTAGGATCAGTGTTTTAGAAAGTGGACCCCTCTGGGGAATGATGTGAGGGGAGTGCATGAAAATGCAGAACGCACAGCAAATATGAAATTCAGATTAAAATAATTTCATGGCCTTTCCCAAATATTGCATGAGACACATTCTATATTTGAGGGTTGGGAGTGGAGTCAAATGTGGCTAACTTGTCCAAATCCTGGAGTTACAACACCAACAATCCCAACACTAAGGGAACAAATACATTGTTTAACTAAAATTCACATTTAATGGAGGTTCTATATTTTATCTGGCAGCCTTGCCTCTGTTTCTCTAGCACAGGGGCTCTGTCAGGCAAGAGATATTTCCACACCTGACTCCAAATATCTAATTTCCTTAGATTCCACCTACCAGATTCTTGTTCCTGGAGGCAGAGGGACTGCCTGGCAAAAATTTAAAAAAATACAGACTTTAAATATTTCCCATGAAACCACATGCAAAACACTCAACAAATATTAGCAGATAGCATTCTATACCAAAAGAAAATTATATGGCACAAGCCAGTGGGATTTATCTCTGGTACAAAAGCCTGGTTTGTCACATAAAAATCATTAGCATGATCTATTATATCAATAGACTAAAGAGGAAAAACCACATGATCATAACAACAAATGTAGGAAAATGTGTCTGAAAAGTCATATATGCTGGCAATGAACATTGGTGGCATGTTAGATATGGAGCTAAACTTCCTCACTTGATAGAGTGTCTACAAGAAACTGACAGCCAACATCATCACAACTGGTGAAAGCCTCAAAATGCCCCTGTGAAGACCATAAGCAAGGAAGTCTTCTCTTACATTTTCAACATCATATAGAAATCGTATCTAATGTACTAAGACAAGAAAATAAAATAAAGAGTATTGATTTACCAGTCAGAAGAAAAGGTGAGTGGCCCACTTACCAGCTGAACTGCCCCACTCCCTAGATTCCATTCCCAAAGATCCACTCCACTGCTCACCTCATTGTCCATCCCATGCTGGACTCTGTGGACTTCCACTACTCAGGTGCAGGTCACACCAGGCAGAACAGGTTCAGGCCATGCAAGTTAGAAGAACAGAGAACCCTTGCTGCACCAAAGGCCAACCTAACCACCAGAAGGCCATCTCCCAACTTGGACAGAGACTCCCTAGTAAAGAAGAGGTCACACAAGAAAGCCAGACCACAAAGTTTAGAAGACCCAAGAGGAAACAGAAAGTAAGAAACAAAACAGCCATCCAACAAAGACAAACTCAGAAATCAGGACCTAGATCTATAATCATCCCAAACACAGATGCTCAAATGCCAGTATAAGAATGGGCAACATGACGCCACCAGAGCCTAGCTACCCCACAACAGCAAGACCTGAATATTCCAATGCAGATGAAGAACAAAAAAAAAACAACTTTATGACAACAGATGAAGAAATCTATTCAAAACCTGAAAATTGAAATAGAAGCAATAAAACACAAACTGAGGGAATTCTGGAAATGGAAAATCTGAGAAAATGAACAGAAATTACAGACACAAGCTTCACCAACAGAATACAAGAGATGGAAGACAGAATCTCGGGCATAGAAAATACTATAGAAGAAATAGATTCATCAGTCAAAAATGTCAAATCTAAAATCTCTTAACACAAAACATCCAGGAATAATAGGAGGAGAACAATCTTATAACCCAGAAAATATATTTAACAAAATCATAGAAGAAAAATTTCCCAACCTAAAGAAGGGCATGTCTATAAAGATACAAGAAGCTTACAGAACACCAAACATATTGGATCAGAAAAGAAAGTCTCCACACCACATGATAATCAGCACTAACCATACAGAACAAAGAAAGAATATTAAAACCCGCAAGGGGAAAAGTCAACTAATATGTAATTAAAATTACACCCAACCTCTCACTGGAGACTCTAAAATCCAGAAGGACCTGGACATATGTCCTGTAGACTCTAAGAGAACACAGATTGCGAACCCCGGAGGGGACCCCCGACCCACGGGGATGAGGTGATGAGGGTCGCTACTAATTTGGTGGGCCTTCACGAGCAGATCCGATCTTAAAAGTAAACTTCAAGAGGTTAAGGGAAGCAGGCTCAAGACAACTTTTGCTGATCAAGAGCGTTTATTTTTGGGGCGAGCTGGTACTTATAGAGAAAGAATCTCAGGGGGTGGTACAAGCATGTCAATCAAGTCTCAACTCAAATATACACCAATATGGTAAAGACAAAGCTATAATTTTTTATCAGTCATCAGTCGCATTCCACAAATGCTTGTCAGCGTAAGTCAGGTGCAGGAATTAGGGAGGGGTAGGAAGTATTCAAAGGAACACTTTAACCTTTTGTTAACAAAGACAATTGCTCTGTAAGGGTTACTTCCCCCTGGCTAGGC